CTCATAACTGAAAGCTTTTATCCTTTGACCAATATCTTTTCATCCCCTTCACCCAGAGCCTGATAACCACCATTCTACTTTTCTATTTCTATGAGTTCAATTTTTCAAGATTTCCCCTATACAAGATATGGTGTAATGATTGTCTTCCTCTGTCTAAGTTATTTCACTTAGAATAATGTCCTCCACCTTGCTGCAAATGGCAAGATTTCTTTTTTTTTAAGATCAAATAATGTTTTCTTGCATATGTATATATCAATATCACAATTTATTTATCCATTCATCCAATGAGCACCTATGTTATTTCCATACCTTGGGGTCTTGTGAATAATGCTGCAATGAATAGAAGAGTGCAGAAGTAGCCAAGAGTCCAGATGCCTCTTCAAGGTCATGGTTTTATTTCCTTTGGATACATACTGCAAATCCAGTAGCTTTACAGGTGTGGCACAAAGATGACACATGTTTTATAATGATATATTTTAATACACACACACAAATAATTTTTCCACATTTTTACATAATGGTGGGATTTATTGTTACATATTCATACATACATGCAATATTTTTTTTTTAATTTTTTTTTTTATTGGTTGTTCAAAACATTACACAGCTCATGACATATCATCTTCCATACATTTGATTCAAGTGGGTTATGAACTCCCATTTTTTACCCCAAATACAAGTTGCAGAATCACATCGGTTACACATCCACATTTTTACATAATACCATATTAGTGACTGTCATACATGCAATATTAACAATATAATTTGGTCAGTATCCCTCCTCAGTATTTTCCTTTTACTTCCCCTCCTTCCTCGCTCTGGTCCCTTTCTCCTGTTCTTCTTCTCGGTCTTCTATCTTCATGAAATCCCCCACACTTTTCCATTTTCCTCTCTAGCTCTCAAATATAAGAGAAAACATACAACCTTTGACCTACTAAATTTGACTTATTTTGCTTAACATAATATTTGCAATTTCCATTCATTATCCTGAAAATGAAACAATTTTATTTTTCTTTATGCCTGGGTAAAACTCCATTGTATACACATGCACTTTTGATACATAACACACACATTTGTACACACTAAAAGTCTGCTTTTAAAGTAAAGCAGGAGGCATCACAATACCAGACCTTAAATTATACAACAGAGCCATAGTAACAAAAATGGCATGGTATTGGTACCAAAACAGATACATAGACCAATGGTACAGAATAGAAGACGCAGAGACAAACCCACATAAATACAGTTATCTCATACTAGACAAAGGCCCCAAAAAACATACATTGGAGAAAAGATAGCCTCTTCAACAAATAGTGCTGAGAAAATTGGAAATCCCTATGTAGGGAAATGAAATTAAACCACTATCTCTCACCCTGCACAAAAATCAACTAAAAGTAGGTCAATGACTTAGGCACTAGAATCCTGAACCTAATAGAAGAAAAAGTAGGCCTGAATCTCTACAATGTTATCTTAGGAACTTTCTTAATAAGACTTCTAAAGCATAAGAAGTAAAATCAAGAATCAATAAATGAGATGGAATTAAACTGAAAAGCTGCTTCACAGCAAAGGAAACAAACAGTAATGTAAAGAGAGAGCCCACAGATGGGAGAAAAATTTTACCACATGCACCTCAGACCATTACTCTCCAGGACATATAAAAAAACTCAAAAGAAACTAAGACATTGAGATTTTAAATGACTTATCTATGGTTACCTGAGCAGTAGTGGTGAAACTGGGATTACATTTAACCCCCTCCCCCCAAAAAATAACCCAGTCAATAAATGGGATAAGGAACTGAACAGACACTTCACAGAAGACGAAATCCAATCAATCAACAAATATATGAAAAAATGTTCAACATCTCTAGCAATTTAAGAAATGCAAATCAAAACTACACTGAGATTCCGTCTCCTTTTAGTCAGAATGGCAATTATCATTAATACAAGCTACAATAAATGTTTGTGAGACTGGCGGGGAGGAAGTACACTCATATATTGCTGGAAATTTGTGCAACCATTATAGAAAGCAGTATGGAGATTCCTCAGAAAACTTGGAATGGAAACAACCATGGTTTGACCCATTATCCCACTCCTAGGTTTATACGTTACAGATTTAAAATTAGCATACTACAGTAACACAGCCACTGTGTTGATAGCAGCTCAATTCACAAACCGCTAACCTATGGAACCAACCTAGGTGCCCTTTAACAGATGAATGGATAAAGAAATCCATGGAATATTGCTCAGCCTTAAAGAAGAATGAAATTATGGCATTTTCCAGTAAATGAATGGAGCAGGAGAATATCATGCTAAGCTACATAAGCCAATCCCAAAGAACCAAAGGCCAAATGTATTCTGTGATATGTAAACGATAATTCACAAATAAGGTGGATAGAGGAGAATAGAGGTACTTTGGACTAAACAGAGGGGAGTGAAGGGAGAGGAGGCATTTGCGGGTAGGAGTGATAGTAGAATGAACTGGATATTATTACCCTTTGTGAATATATGATTCCAGAACTTTGTGCATATATGATTCCAGGTGTAGCTCTACATCATGTACAACCAGAAGAATGAGAAGTTATACTCCATCTATGTATGATGTGTCAAAATACATTGTACTGTCATGTAAAATTAATTAGAACAAATTTTTAAAAATTGCCCAAAACAGTCTGCTTTAAAAGAATGCATATGTATATATGTGTATACACACACACACACACACACACATGCACTATACTTTAATTCTTCAGTCTTTTAGCACACTAATTTCTACCTCTTTCCTGTGTTCTTTAAGGTAGATAAATTTCATAAATTCATAATTCATGTTATCCTATTTTGATATAATTATTGATTCTTTTACTGACACCTTTACTTCTTTTTTAATTCTAATAATTATAACATTACTATGACACTTATCTCTTTCAGACCTCACTGCATTTCTATGATGAAATTGTTTATCCAATCACCAATTTTCAAAGTAGGAAACTAAAACGTTGAGATGTTAAATGACTTGCCTTTGTTTACCTGAGCAGTAGTGATAAAACAAGGATTACATTTTAAAACCGCAGATTCTGCTCAGAATGATCTTACATTTAAACTGTAAATAATGTCATAAAAGTTTGTATACAAATAATGTAATATCACTTCCGCCACAATCATAAACTCTGTTTTCATTAGAAGATAAAGAGATACTTCTGTTTCTATGTCTTGGTTTACACATAATCTAAGGAAATACCATCTTTAAGGCAGGATCTGTGTAAGTATGGCATGAAGAACAACAGCATGAAATGAGCCCATCTTGGAGGCTTAACAGAACCTGCTAAAGAGAGAAAGGAATCCTGCACCCCTGTTGATCACAGATATGCAAAGCAAACATGAATGCTAAGGGAAAATCTTTCCTTACTGACTTGGATGTCATTTTTATATGAAATTCAAATATCTATAATTATTATTAGAACATTTGTTTACATATTTTCTGTGTCTATTTCTGCACTACATCAGAAGAGTTTACAACAGAGACCACAAAGCCCCAAATCCTTCTCTCTGAACTCTGAACCGAAAAAGTCTGCCGACCCATGACCTAGAGCTCCCAAAGGGCCATAATAATACTCGGTTGTCATTTTAATGTCCACTTCATGAAGGAAGCTTTAAGGGTTGTAGCATTCCGCAAAAAAAAGAGAATCAAATTTTCTTATTAAATCATACATACTGGAGTTCCCAAATTTTCTTGAGTTCTTAATTGGAAGCCAATATATTTCAGCAATAATTTAAGGCCAGCATAATTTCTTATGAAATTTCACATAACAAGAAACGGGTCAAGAACATCCCATCTCCTTCTTTGAACCCTTTCTTTACAATGAATAAATTACTTGTCTTAGATTTGGCTTTCCTCCTGCTGCTTCGCTGGGCCTCAAGGTTATGTGGACATGGTGATCTAGATTCACAAAATCTAGACTGGTGGAATCTTTTCTTTCTTGTGTATCCATTATCAAAATGTTCTACTATATACTGCCACATAATGTTCCTTATCCTTCTGCAAAACACGAAGTACTGAGCAAGGCCAATTCTTAATGGAAACTTTTACGTCCTTAAAGATAATTCCAAAAACTGAGAGAAAGTACTGATGCAGGCATATAGGAACAATTTCATAGAGTTGTTTTTCCTCCTAACTTTTGCAGGAACTGCTACATTTGATTCATTTGTATCAATGGATGGAAATGTCCCTGCATCTTTTTAGTCCTTTGATTCTCACACTATGGAATACATTTGACTTACTGATTTTCAGTTTTGTAGGAGAAACTGTGTTTTTCTATCACATATCTAGTGGCCCAACTGTGACAGCAAATGAGCATTTCTCCAAGGGTAGCTACCTCAAATATTACAGGGAAGACCCAAGGAAGCACAGCTGTCTTTTCACACTTTGAGGCAGAGCCAGAGCAATGCTGTATGCAACAAACACACACACACAATTTTATGCAATTTATTAGAGCCCCATATTAGTTTGGGAATGTGTATTATTTTTGTGATGTGTCTTTAACTACTCTTCACATGTATGTATGTGTCCATTCTTCCCAATTTATAAAATGATTCCTGGAAAGAAAGATTTTATCTTCAATTTTCTTTATATTTATTGATTTTTCTCTTTCCCTATTAGGGCATTGTACTAGCTAAATAATTTAAAGTATTTTTATTTTATTTCTTTAGGTTAATAAAGAGCCAAGATCTATCTCTTGTCAAAAATAATCATCCTCACTTTTATATACAATTACCAATATTGCTATAACAAAGTATTATTTGAGATTCAACCTTTGTTACAAAAATATACGTTTACATGTGCATGCCACGTGACATTATCAGGCTATCATTTCTACTAAATGTTTATCCAAAATGGCATTTAGACTGTATGTTGACTTGTAGTTTTAATTAGTTAACATTAGGACTATACTTTGCTGGAACACTCTCATGTACTTTTGGGTTTGTTTGTTTGTTTTCACCTTTCAGGTGTACAAGAATTCCCAGAAAATATAAAGTGCTGTAAGTGTTTAACAATTATTGAAGCCAGTGTCAATCCCATTTCTAAGTGAGTATAAATTATTTCATTTCATTTGCATTTATGTTCCTCTTGGATGATAATATACTAAAATAATGAAATTTATAATAATAACTGAATAATTGAATCTTAAATGTAGCTTTGATATAGCCTTTAATAAAATGATGGGAAACACATAACCAAATCAGAATACTTCTACAAAAGATGATTTAAAACATTGCTGAGTAGGAATGGTGCCAACTGGCACAGGATATCATTGTTTTGAAGCAAACTATGTCATCATTTTTCTGGAGCTCTCAGACTACATTCCATGGATGATCGTCAAAACTAAGAAAACACTTATTAGTTCTTTTCATAGTAGGAAATTAGTATCAAGGATCTTATGGAAATTCAAGAGAGTTCAAGACTTTAAGATATTGATAAATAGATTAAGAAATCTGTTTGTATAGATCAAAAAATTAAATATGGCTATCAATTGGAAGTATTTGTATATGAGGGATTACAGAAATGGCAGAGATCATCCTATGAAGATAGTACAATAGAAGGTACAAATGATAAGGAGGTTAGGATCAGAGAAGAAGGGTTTTGTGACTTAAGATCTACTAAGGAATTCTATGGAAAAATAAGATTTTGAGATGACCATGACTTGAGGGTGTGATGTAGTGATAGAAGTCTATGGGATCCAGTAAAGAAATTGTGATGGGAATGGCTTGGATGAGTCATGAGACTGAATGGAAAAGCATGAAGTGGAAATAGAACCTAGAAGGCTATTCGCAGTTGTAGTATTATTTGGGATAGATTAAAACAAATCTGTGGTATTGGGATGCAGGTAATAAACTTTCCAAGAAAGAAGGTATTAATTATATCAAACTGACATTGGGATTTGAGAAAAATCTCTCAGCTCTTTGTCCTCATAAAGCTGGGGAGGTTGGGGAAAAGCCCACTGGGAAGGCATTTAATGAATGGAGTATTGTCTATAAGAAGGCAAAGAAGCTAATCAAAGAGAAACTGAAGACAAATTTCATACGAGCGAAGTTGAGGAGAGGGACCTGTTGTTTCCTATGGATCATAGATAAGATTGCACATAAGATCAGGGATGAGGCAGAAGTTTAAAAGGAGGTCTTTATACAAGTTGTTTATGAAATAATTTGAGTCCCTTTATAGAAAGTGTGGAACATCAAACAATAAAATGTGTTTGAACGTTACAGTGTTTCTGCCTCAAAAATAGAATATGGAGAGAGAAAACCAAAATAGAATACAGAGAGAGAAATCCCAAAATTCTTTGAGCAAATATGATTATTCCAACATTTCCACAAAATAGATGTTACTACAAACATCTCCTTAACCTTAGTCACATGATCCAGCAGAGATAATAAATTGTTTTGTTTTGGTTTTTCCTAATTCTTTAGTTCTGATAGTTTCTATAATTTAGGAACCATGGTAGTTCTTTGGTGGTAGAAGCCAGGTGATAAATTATATCTTTTTTAAAAAAAAAATACTCTTTTTTTTAAGATGTTGATGGACCTTTATTTTATTTTTTATTTATATGTGGTGCTGAGATTGAACCCAGTGGCTCGCACATGCTAGGCAAGTGCTCTGTCACTGAGCCACAGCTCCAGACCCTAAATTATATCTTTACAAAGTTTAAAGTCAGTAGTTTTATGGAATGTTTCTGAATTGCATTCACATATTCGACTTTTAAAAGATGAAAGATACAAACTGTTTCATTTTTAAAAAGAAGTCTAACTCTGTAAACATTAAGCAATTTGGGAATTCATAAAATATGACTCAAGAGAAAAGTAAACTGAAGTAGTATATTAATTCTCAAAGTCAGGTTTTTAAAGATATAAGATACATAAGTAGGTTCATCCGCTTTTGGAGTATGAGTCAATGAATTTTAATAAATGTACATAGTCATGTAACTGTCACCAGAACTAGATACAGATGATTTTCAACATCCCCAAAAGTTCCCTAAACCCAAACATACACTGTAACCTGATTAATATCCCCATGGTTTTACCCTTTCCAAAATGTCATATAAATGCTGTATGTCATATAAATGATATATATCAGATACTTTTGTGTCTGATTTCTTTTATTTAATATATGATTGTGAGATTTAGCCATAGTGTTTCAATAATCAATTCTTCATTCCTCTTTATTGGTAGGTAGTATTTCATTGTATGGCTAGAACATGATTTGTGTATCTATCTGTTGACAGCCATCTAGGTTGTTTCCACTTTTGGACTACTATGAATACTGCTTATATAAATTAAGTACAGGTGTATGTCTGAGTGTGTTTTCTTTTGTATTACATAAATACCTGGGTAATATAGTACCTGTATGTTTAACCTTATGAGAAACTTAAAAATTGCTTCCAAAAGAGCTATTAAATTGAGCATTCCCAACAGCAATGTATTAGAGTTTCAGTTATTGTTTGTCTGTGTCCCTATTTGGTGCTATAAGTTTTTATTTTTTTAATTTTAGCCAAACTAGTAGATGTGTTATCTCATTATGTTTTTAATTTACATTTTAAGGCATAATTAGTACCTTGCCTTGTACTTATTTTAAAAATATATTGCTTCTTTTTTAATGATTCCAAATTTTTGTTGACACATTTTTATTATTGAATCAAAGAATTGATAGCATATTTTAGATACAAGTCCTTTAGTTGATAAGATATCTGTTAGTGAATATTTGCTCCAATTCTTTGGCTTATCTCTTTGTGTTCTGAATAGTGTCCTTTAAAGAGAAGTTTTGATTTTGGTGAAATCCTACTTAATAATATTTTATAATCTGTGCTCTGTTTTCCTAAGAGCTCTTTGCTAAATTCATAGTTATAACAATTTTGCCTACCCTTTCTTCTGGAACTTTTTATAGCTTAGGTTTTAGATTTTACATTTAAGTCTGTGTTCATTTAAAGTTGACTTTTGCAGATGTGTCAGGTTTAAGCGCTGTGGTTCACTTCTTTGCACATAGACACCTAGTTGTTCAATACCATTTGTTAGAAACATTATCTTTTCATTATAGAATTACCCTAAGTACCTTTATTGAAAATCAGTTGATACATGTTTGGATCCATAGCTGGATTTTCTACTATGTTACATTAATCTATATGCTTGTTCTTATCCTATTTCCATGCTATCTTAGCTTTATAGTAAATCCCAAAATCAGGGAGTAAGAATCCTTCTTTCACCTTTGTTCTTCTTCATCAAAATTGTTTGGACTATTTTATGACCATCATTCTATATAAATTTTATAATGAGCTTGCCAATTCTTCAGAGATATAAAATCCTGCTGGCATTTTTATAGTCATTGCCTTGAGCCTATAGCTCAATTTGACTCACATTGGTGTCTTTAAAATATTTAGCATTGTCTCTGAGCATAGTATAACTACATACTTTTTGGGGGGTAATTCTTTTATCAAGGCTTTATGGGTTTCAATATATAAATATTGCACCTTTTATTTATTTTCCTGAACATTTCATGTCATTTGTGCTATTGTAGATTTTTTATTTATAATTCCAATTTGTTTATTACTATTATGTATAAATAATTGATTTATATATATCCACCTCATATCCTTCAACTTTAGTCCTGGATTGTTTCTGCAGATTTGAGGGAGATTTTCTATGTAAGCAATAATGTCATCTGTGAATAAAATAGTTTTATTTTATTATTTTTCATCTGTATGCCATTTATTTTTCTTGCCTTATTATCTTGGCTAGGTCCTCCTTTACACATCAAATACAAGAAGTGAGAATAGAAATCACTGACTTGCTTTCAGTCTTAGTGAGGTAGACTTTCGCTATTATGTATTGTTATTACTTTTTGGCATTTACCAGTCTGTGACTACTACTTGGTTTTAAAGCCACTCCACATTATTAGGAATTAGTTACAGCAGAACCCCATTCCGAGTAGCAAAATCGGTGTTCATTTCCTAATGCTATGTAAGAAATCACCACAAATTTAGCAGCTTAAAACAATACATACTCATTATCTCTCAATTTCAGTGGTTCAGAGTGGTTCAGGAATCTAGGCATGGGTTCCCTGCTTCATGGTTTCACCAGACTGTAATCAAGGTATGAGTTGAACTGTATTCTTATCAGGAGACTTACTGGAGAACAATACAAGTCAGAATCCAACTTACTTTGTTGACAAGTTCATTTCCTCATTGTTATAAAGCTGTATATCCTAGCTTTACCCTAGCTGTCAGCTAGAGGCTACTCTTGGGACCTAAAGGCTGTATATAGTTCCCTGCCACATAATCCTTTCCACGGGCAGCTCACAGCAGGAAGTTTGCTTCTTTAAGGACAACAACTGAGTAAGAGTGAGTGTTCTGGTAAGATGGAGTCTTCTAATATAACATAGTTATGGTAGTGTACAATTTGCCACATTCTGTTGATTAGTAGCAAATCATAGGTCCTACCAACAATCAAATGGGGATGCTTCAAAGGCATGAACATCAGGAGGTGAGGATCAAGGGGGCCACCAGAGAAAGTATTCATCACACCTTTTATATCTGTTTTGCTGACAGTTTTTTTTTTTTTAATCATCAATGGTTGTTGAATATTTTCAGTTACCTTTTCGACATCTATTGACATAATTATCTGTTTTTTCTCCACTTGTCTGATCATATGGTGACTGGCATTGATTTTTTTTTTACATCAACCCGACTTTACATTGCAGGGATACACTCCACTTGGTCAAGAAGTATTATTCATTTTTCTGTATCAATTGCTGTAATATTTGTTGATGGTTTTTCCGTCTATATTCATGAGGCATATTCTTCTGAAGTTCCTTTTCTTGTAATTTCTTTGCCTGGTTTTGCCTATCAGGGTAAAACTTCATAAAATGAATTGGAAAATGTTCTGTTCTATTTTCCATAAGAAATTGTATAGAATTTGGTATTATTTTCTTATTAAATATTGGCAGATTTTGTCAGTGCAGCCATTCAGGCCTGCAGTTTTCATTATAAGAATGTTTTTTATTGCAAATTGAATTTTCATAATAACTGTATGGTACTTCAA